TTCAAGAAGAAAGAAGGAGCTCCAGATACAGATTCTATAAGGTACAAGGCACGCTTGGTAGCTAAAGGCTACAGTCAGACCGAAGGTGTGGACTTCAATGAAGTATTCTCTCCAGTTGTAAAACACACCTCAATTCGCGTGTTGCTTGCCATTGTTGCTCATTTTAATTTGGAGCTTGAGCAACTTGATGTGAAAACAACTTTTCTACATGGTGAGCTTGAGGAGCAGATCTTTATGCATCAGCCAGAGGGATTCATTGATGAAGGTAAAGAAGATCATGTGTGCAGGTTGAAGAAATCTTTTTATGGGTTGAAGCAGTCTCTGAGGCAGTGGTATTTGAGATTTGATACTTTCATGTTTGAGCATGGTTACTCTAGGAGTAAATATGATAGTTGTGTTTATCATAAAAAGCTTAATGATGGTTCTTTTGTATATTTGCTTTTGTATGTTGATGACATGTTGATCGCAGCTAAAGATATGTCAGAAATCAACGAGTTGAAATCTCAACTCAAACATGAATTTGAGATGAAGGACTTGGGAGCAGCAAAGAAGATTTTGGGCATGGAGATCCACAGGAATAGACAAGAAGGAAGTTTATTCCTATCCAAGGAGAAATACATCAAGAAGGTGTTAGAGAGATTTGGCATGCTTGATGCCAAGCCTGTGAAGACTCCGCTTGCTACTCATTTTCATCTTTCAGCAGATTTGTCACCTCAGACTGAGGAGGAGGAGCAGTACATGTCTTGTGTTCCTTATGCGAGTGCAGTTGGAAGCATTATGTATGCGATGGTTTGCACCCTTCCAGATATTTCACATGCAGTCAGTGTTGTGAGTCGGTACATGGATAAGCCTGGAATGGTCCATTGGCATGCTGTGAAGTGGATACTTAGATATTTAAGAGGATCTGCTAATATTGGTTTGTATTTAGGCAGGAACACAAACTCAGATTGCAGAATATTTGGCTATTCTGATTCAGATTATGCGGGTGATTTGGATAAGGGACGATCCCTGACAGGTTATATATTCACTCTTTCAGGTAGTATCATTAGTTGGAAGGCAACTCTACAGTCGACAGTTGCTTTGTCTACTACAGAGGCAGAGTATATGGCAGTGACAGAAGCAGTGAAAGAAGCTATTTGGTTGAGAGGTTTGGTTGAAGATCTCGGCTTACACTAAGGTGTTACTATGGTATTTTGTGACAGCCAGAGTGCTATACATTTGATGAAGCATCAGATGTATCATGAAAGAACCAAACATATAGATGTCAGGTATCATTTCATCAGAGAAATTAAAGTCATCAGGATTGAGAAGATTGGTACTGCAGATAATCCAGCAGATATGATGACGAAGCCCGTACCTTCGCGCAAGTTCGAGTATTGTCTCGAATTGCTTGGAGTTCGACAAAGCGGAGGTTAAGCCCGTAAGGGGCTTTTGGCGAGACAGCAATAGTAAAGAGAAGATATCCATTTTCAAAGGCAATGTGAAGATTTGTTAAACGTGCCTTTAGAAAATTCAACATTCACCTACCCTGCTGCCTAATATTCCCTGTTCCACCTACCAACTTTGTATTTTTTATTAATATTTTGAGCCTATATAAGGGGGTGTAGGGAGAGGGTTTAAGAGCATCGAAAACTCAGTTGAGTAGAGAGAAAATAGAGAGAGAAGAGAGTGAGATAGAAAGGTTTTGTCCATTTCTTTGTGAGAGTCTCTGATTAGAGAGTGGTCTCCTCTTTTGTAATCTTCTCTTTTGGTGATTAGTGAAGTTCTTTGCTGTTCTCGCCCGTGAATGTAGGTCATATTGACCGAACCACGTTAAATCTTGTGTGTTGTTTTCTATTTGTCCACTCTTGTATAGACATCTTTGTGTCTATGAAGCCCCTCCGCTGCAACAATTATTTCCATACTGCTTTCCTTCTGAGACCTCTAATTATTTTGTTTTAATTTTATGTAATCAAATGGTCAAGTGATGATTTGTGCATAGTTCAAATGAAAAATCTCTAATGAGATTTTGATTAATATTTTTCTAGTCTTTCGCTCCTATCTGATGACCATCACTTTTTCCTTCAAAATAACATTTTATAAATGAAACAAACTTTTATATAGAATTTTAATTAATATTTCTTTTTAGGATTTGGGTATTTCTTTGTAAATTTATGTATTCTATGTTTATTAGAGTGAACTTTCATTTGCTTCTACAAGGAATTTATATTGGATAACTGGTTTGCGTATGAGTGAGCTTAGATGTTCAAGGATTGAGTTGATTTTTACAATTTATATGAATTAAGTGGGGACTGCAGAAAATATTATTGGTTTGCTTCCTGGTTGTATTTTTATTTGACAGATCACATGTAGCACACTTTCTGTTCGACAATATGCATCAATGAAACAGGAACTTCATGTTATCCTCAATGAACACATTAACTTGGATCATTTTGACAATCCAAACTTAGTACTCATTTAGCAAGTAACCTTATATGGTTTTCCAGTAATTCAAACAATATTTCATTATGTGTCTCACAAATAATTTATAAAAGTCGAGATCCCATTTAAGCCTGCAAGAGTCCTGTTGCAGGTCTTGCTTTTAATTTTCTTCTTTTTTACTTGATTCTTCATTTGGAAATGTTTGGTGAAATTCATTTGGAAAGTATGAAAGAGAAATGCAATTGTCTTCATCTTGATTCATGGAGTAGAGAAGACACAAAGTCAAAGTTCTGAATTATTTGTTTGTTAGAGTACATTGTTTAGGCAGAACAATCGGAATTAATAACTAGCTCCTAGTTCTAAAACCTAAAATTTGGTTAACTGCAGGTAAGTTTTGGCGCCACTGAAGAGACAAGGATCCTATGGGGGATATTTTGACATCACGTGCGGCTTCTTCAACAACATACCAATGGGGAATCAGGTAAGATCATAGTCGTCAGTGTTTCTTTTCTCATGTTTTACCCGTCGTGTACGCTAAAATTTGGTGTCTACGGTAGTGTATCTGATCACAATTTTCTATTTCTTGGTTTGTGTTACTATGTTTCTACCCATCGCTGAATCCTGGACTTGAGCCTAAACTTTAACAAGACGACTTCTTTTGGATCAAATATTGTTACATTTATATCTATTGTGGGTGATGTACATAACAAAGGTGATGTATTAATGCTTTGTTAAATGATGAACGTTTTTCCCAAAAGGAGAGCATGTAAATACATACTTCCTGAAAATGACATTTTCCTATAAAACAAGCTTTTGTTTAGCTCAGGTGGAGAATAAAGCCTTGTTTAATCACAGTGCCATTGATCATTATTTCTTTGTTGCTTTGTTTGGTAAACTTATGGGGTGAAATTTGGTCCAGGGATGCATCCGCGGGTGTTGGTAGATGGATTTGATATAGCTAAAAGGGCAACTCTGGAATTCCTTGATATAGGTAAAAGAGATCTTGAAGATGGTTGCGAGAACACCTCTTAGAACGAAGGTATTTATTCTTCTCTTTCGTAGCATCATTGATTTTCAGATTATAGCGCCTCTAGAGTATGTTTCAGTTTTGTTTGCCTATCAGTTGATGCAAGTAACTGTGAAAATCTTGGTTTTGTTTGTGTATGACATATGCTTGCTACAGGTGTGATGGTTCATTGATGCAAGTAACTGTGGAAATCTGCTTGTCAGTTTTTTCTTGCTGGTATATTCTCAAGATGATGTGGAAGAAGGAGAAGAAGAGGGCTTGAGTAAATATATAGGGAAGGAGTTGAAGAAGCTTCTGCAGTGTCATAGCCATTGTAAATAATTTATGTAAAAGTTTGTAAACAATTTATGTATCTCTCTACTATTTTGGTGAATGTATTATTTGAATATAATTGGATTTGATATTGGAATATAATTAGATTGTGTTGGATATGAATATAATTTTTTGTTGTTCAATATTATGTACATACACTCAAAGTAGATTCTGCAAAAAAAAAAAAAAATACTGTAGCATAGCATCCTAGACGAAAATTCCGTCTAGGATGCTCAAATTCCGTCTAGGATGCTTTTTAAAAAAAAATTAAAAAAAATTAAAAACATTAATTTCCATCTAGGATGAGTATCCTGGACAGAAATTTCCGTCTAGGATACTCATCCTAGACGAAAATTTTTTCCGTCTAGGATGTAGTATTATAGACGGAAATTCCGTCTAGAATATTCCGTTTAGGATGTATTCTAGACGGATTTTTTTCCGTCTATAAAAAACTGTCTAGAATACATTCTAGACGGAATTTCCGTCTAGAATAAAATATTCTAGACGGAAACTAATTAGACTCGTATTCTAGACGGAATTCCGTCTGGAATAAGTTTTCTAGACGGAATTATGTTTATTCCAGACGGAATTTTCCGTTTGGAATACGTCCTTTTATAGCAGTGTGTCGTATCACAAGTAAATAGAAACAAAAGAGATTGTTTCAGACCTTTTTTCGTTTTTCCTTTTTTTTATTTTATTAATCAGAGGTTTACCGTGTAACTCGTCGGATGATTGAGGTAGGCAATGAAGAAATTCTGTTCTTAAATATTAATATTTTGTATTAGAGGGTAAGGTATTAATCAATTCTCACGGGTTCATGGTACAAATAGGTTAATGGATTCATATATAACTAATAACTCAGTGAGCATCCAGAATTCAATGACAACAAATACATTTACAGTTTTATGTCCACTTGTAAGAGAAATATAAATGTGATTAAATTGTAATTATGAAATTATCCATGACTTCTATGCAAAACTATTATATACATGGAACCTAAGACCCGGGTTCAATGTATAAGATATATACTGATGAGTTTTGCTACAGGGACCCAAAATATGGGACCAATAAAGAGGACAAATGAGGTATCCCCCTCCTATTAGATAATGAGTTGGCCATCATTAATGATGGCCAACTCATTATCTAATAGGAGGGGATATCTCACTTGTCCTCGGTCCCATATTTTAGGTCCATGTAGCAAAGCTCATACTGATACACACGCTTCGCGGTTCCCGCCGTAATCACCTTCCTTTTTACAGAAAGCCCCGAACACTCAAAAAATATGCTAAAATCCCCTCCCTCCTCCTCCTCCTCCTTATTCTTCAACCTCGGTTTCAGTTTCTTTAGAAAGAGAAGAAGCATAGTTTTTTCTATCTTCTCTTTTCGTTTCGTTTGCTTATCGATCCCTGAATATGAAGGGGAACCGGGGGCGATCCAAGGTTCAAGGGCTTCCCATCGCCCTCGTCTTCTGCTGCGTTTCCTTTCTCGCTGGATTCTTTGGGTCCGTGCTGCTCTTTAAAGATTCCTCCGGCGGCGCCGGGCCCCGGCTGAGGCGGACGGAAGCGGAGGAGGAGTTTCCGGCCATGCCTCATGGAGACAGTGGAGAGTCTCGGCCGTCGTCCATCCCTTTTCAGGTTTTTTTTTTCCCTTTTCTTTCCCAAATTTAGCGTCTTTTTTCCCCCTGTTATATCTTTTTGTTATTTGATAAGTACATTATTCAGTGACTTTGCTACGGACGTTAATTTGATGCAAGAATTGTGGTGTCGGGGGAGGTCACGCACATGCTAATGTTTGTTCGTAGGATGTTTTGAACTTACTACCCTGTACTTTCATTGTTGTAGATAGGCCCCCTTTGGGTTGAACTTTCTGATTGATCACTACTTGTTGAATTTTGCATCTGTCTAATCTTTTATGTTTTCAACTCCTCAATAAAGTGAACTTTATTGCTCTGAATGTTGAGGAACAAATATCTATTGAATGTTTCTGTCATTTATTTGTGAAAATATATTTACACTGGCTATTGTTATGCTGTATGCATGTAACCAGATACTGAGCTGGAAACCTCGTGTACTCTATTTTCCTAAATTTGCAACAGCTGAACAATGTCAAGGTGTAATAGAAATGTCAAAATCAAGACTTAAGCCTTCGAAGTTGGCTTTGCGAGAGGGAGAAACGGCTGAGAACACGAAAGGAGTAAGAACAAGGTAAAGTTGTTGCTTGGCATTCATTAGAGTTGGAACAACCTATAAATGGAAGTTGTTCGCTTGAAGCCTTTTTTCTGAGTAATATGTTTTCTGAAACTTAGTTTATGCATCTCCAATAGCTTCCCCATCTTCTTGAAATACTCAAATTTGGGGAATATAGAGTTTTTTTTTGGTCCAACAGATTCCCCATCTCATTCCTCAAAATAGGGAAGGAGGAGAAAAAATAGGGAGCATTCCCCAAATCTGCAGCATTCTCCAAATTTTTGGGGAAAGCTTTATTATTGTAATAAATGCGATTTTTTCAAAATGGGGAAGCTGTTGGAGTTGGAGCAAAAATAATTTGGAGAATATGACTTTTGTTTCTTCATTTTGGAGAAAATTTTGGGGAAGCTGTTGGAGATGCTCTTATAGACTCAGTCCTAGTTGATTAATGTACTTTGGGATGTGTTTAAATATCCGGCGAGTATCGGTCTAATGCTATCAGATGATAAAGTCAAATGTTGCCGGATCTCAAAAGTGATTTTATATGCTATTAAATCCTGTGCAATTGATTCATATTGACAGCTTTTTTTTTTTTTTTTTTTTCTTTTT